GACACATTGTTCTGTAAGAATTATTTCTAGGAAATAAAACAATGAACACAAAACCAGTTCAAACTTTTCTGATTTAAGAACCTCTTTAAGTATTGTAGGGTTGTCTTTACACCATGTTACATTGATATACTATATGTACAATCTGCCCGTGTCTGTCGAAATCCAGATCCAGGTCACCGGATATGTATAAATGCTAAAAAGGCAAATGGATTGGTTGTAGATAAAGCTTCGTTAGTTCTGACTGTGGAGTGAGGAGTCCCCAGAATTTACTAGAATAACAATAACTCAATAAAGAAGGGGTATAAAGTATAAAGCACACCATACAGTGGCAACTTTGCATCATTTGATACCATGGCACACACCAAACGGGTCACACACACAGAAGAAGAGCTCGAGGTACAGTAGTTTGATGTACCAGGATGCTGGTAATAGCACAGTGGCATATCTTGATGAATTAACTTGTGTCAGCCCACACTGATGCACTTGAACACCCCTGGCATAACTCAACCAATGGCTGTGTCCAAAATCACGTTCACTTATTCACTTTTCCCCATATAACAGACACTTAGTAGATTACTATGTAGTGTAAACAGAGACATGGACACTACTGTTTTTGGTTACATTGTGGGGATTTTGTTGCATAAAAGTCACACCAAGAATTCTGACAAGGAAAAATGAAATGGTGAAACATGATAATAATAAAAAAATAAGCCTTATTTATAAACAAGATAAACAAAGTACAGAGAATGAAACAGAATAAAATACCTAACAATGATAATATAGTGGAGTGATATCTGAAAACAGACAGTTGTCAGTTGTATGGACTTCAGTGAAAGGGTCAAAAGCATGGGTCTTTAAACCAGTCAGTCAGAACTGAAGAAGCTTTTCAGATCAGAGGCGAAATGTAAATGAAAGAATGAAAAGCAAGTCCACTCCCTTTGACTTAGCAGCTTTGTATATACATTATACAATAGGCTAATATATTAATCTGAACTCCAATCTACACTCCAGAAGTATCACAAGACATAGACTTTGGGCTACAGAGTGACAGTGGGGAGAAGGTTGGGTTTTGGTAGATGACAAAGTATAAATCTGTTTGCTGTTTACTGAAGAACAGAAGATTACTAAGCCCTTATTCAACACACACTGATATCACTGAAAACATGTTGGACTAAACACAAAAAGATGAAGTTACACATTTACTCTGGATGTAGTTTTTAGTCTTGATGTGGTAACTTAAAGCCCCTACAAGGAACTTTCATTTTGTGTTGATTCTAGCGGCCCCTGTGGACAAAAGCGTTTCATTGATTTCAAAGGATTCCTACCGAATCTGACCTGATGGCAGGCATTAAGAAAAACTATATAAAAATAGGCAATCTTCTCTCTGGTGGTCTTGTTTGTTTATATAGGTCATACAGACGCATCAGTGTTGAATTGAGATTGTTTCATAACCAGTTAAAAACTCCTTGTAGTATGTGAGTAGGTGTTGAACTTACAGCCTGCCTCCATTGTTGAGGGAGTTGGAGCTAGATCTGGTCTGTGGCTGGGACTTGGCATGGGATTTGGGCTGGGGCTGAAGCATGCTGGGAGGCTCCGCATTGCACACCGTAGGCAGATTTTTCTCCTGCATGTGAGTCAGAGGCAGCAATGGCTTAAACAGAGCCCCGACCTTGTACTGTGGAGGAGAGACGGATGGCAACATGCTGACATTCAGAGGCAGCAGGCAGAATATTGGTCGCCCAGGTCGCACAGCGGGAGATCAGTGCCACCCAGATGTGGAGACTTGAGCCAGAATATTCATTTCATGCTTGTGTGTAGTACATCTGTGTGTATCTGTGTGAGTGTTTGTGTGAGCGGAACCAAACATGCACCTACAGATGATGTGCGAAGGTTGTAAATTACTGCCAGCCAGCAGTCTTTGGCTGTGGCTGGTATGTGTGCCTTTAATACAGGCTACTTTAGCAGATAACCAATCACTGGGTTGCTTAAATTGGGAAAGCGGTTGATTTTGTAATCTAATAGTGAATGACTAGTAGATACAAAAACACCTTATTTGCATGTGTGTATGCATGCAGGCATACAGACAATGTGTGTATCAGTGTGTGCAAGCATAATACATGTGGGCACATGCATACAAGTTTGCACTAGTGCATCCAATGTGTGTGTGTGTGTGTGTGTGTGTGTGCAGGCATGTGCAGTGTGGATGTTGTACCTGGGAGCCTGACGTGCCCTGTTGCTGCTGCAGCTGCAGCCTCCTTGCTCGATTCTGCTTATAGTAGTCGAAGATCATCAGGGCTGCATAAACCTTCCCTACCGTCAGTTCATTGGCTGAAGAGGTGAGGAAGGAAGAAATGATGTGAGGAAGGAGGACAGTACAGGAAGAAAGGAAGGAGAGGAGACAAAATTCTGCTGACTCATTCCTTCCTCCTCAATTCATCTCAATTTGCCTGCTTGTCCCTCTAATGGTTAAGTTTAAAGAAAATGAACTTCTACCAGTGAGTGATTAAAGTAGACTTTTAAAGGTAAATAAAACAAAACATCTCCACAGAACTGACTGGAAATGCTGTTGAGTAGTTTAGGTGGTGAACACAATTCTTACCAAAAGGTGGCACTGTGGCAAAGCTCACAACTGCACAGGAAGTCTGGACTTAAACATGCACTCATGTTGATGGACACACACACACACACACACTAACACATGCACACACTCACCTGGGGGCAGTATTTACCAGACTGTTTAAAGTAAAATCATAAGGAATAAAAGCTATTTTTGAATATCTTAACTTAAAAATGTTCTTAAATTTAAGAGAAGCTCTCTGAAATTGGTTTAAGGTAGATCAACATAGATAAGTGCAGTACAGAAACAGAAATATGATGCATTATAATGCATTAGCTGAAGGATAATTTTCTATAATTTAGAAAAGGGTAGCTATTACTTGGCCAGATTATATGCATTGTTTTGCTATGCTAATGATACTCAGCTATATGTACCTGTGAAGGCAGATGATTATTCCCAAACTGTTAAATTAGAGACCTGCCAGGGCGCTGTGGAATCCTGGATGTCACAAAATGTTCTGTTCCTAAATTCTGACAAATCTGAGATGCAGGAATATGGACAGCAACCCCATAAAAAAATGTAAAGGTCAGATTATTATTTAAGACCTGAACACAAGCTATAGTCACAGTCTCTGAAACAGCCCCATCCTGCAATAGAAAAGTATGCAGTTTAAACAACCAAAGAGCTAAAAGAGCAATGGCCAAGAGTCAGGAAAAGAAAACACTGAATTTTATGTAGCCTATTAAATATGCATGACTATTAAAAAATACAGAATACAGAATTGTATAAAAAATATCAGGAAAACTCATCTCTGATCAATATTTACAGGAAATATCCTACACTGAATATAATATGAAATATCCATAAAATATGTCACTGAGTCAGTGATCCCTTAAAGAAAAAGGTTAGAAACCACTGATCTACTGTATTCTTGTACTTGCATGTGTTTGCGTCAGCCCTCAGCTGTGGTGACTGTCACAGTCATTTTATATGATTAAAAACAAAACTCTTTTTCTGATGGAGGTTAACAGTCAATGGCTCCGACAGGTGGCAAAGAAGAGACTGAAGAGGGCAACTCCAAAGCGCCTTGTATAGTATAAAATTAGCCATAATGCCTCATTACATACTGTCACTGTGGTAATGACCCTGAGACATTCAGGCTACTTACTAAATGATGTACAGTCCTTTATGAATATAAGATTAGGTGCAGTGTGAAAATGTACAGTTGGACATTGTGAGAACTAAAGTAAGTAAGTCATTTGTTAGTAAGTTAATCTGTAGACATTATTTTGTGGTGGGGGATTTTCTCAAAAGCTGTAAACAAATGCTCCTACAGATAGAATTTAGAGTATCCTACATTATAAAGAATTTCTCTTTGGGGCCCCCCAATAGCTCTATGCATGCCCATGTACTAAGGTTGAGTTCCTACTGCAGCAGCCCGGGTTGGATTCCAGCCTGCAGACTTTTGCTGCATGTCATCACCCATCTCCTGTCTATCTTCAGCTATCCCTATCAACATAGGTGGCCCTATTAAGCGGCTAGGGGATGCTTCCCCAAAATTATAAAAAATCAGTCACTTTATCAGCTACCTCACATAGCTACAGTGCTGTCAGCATCACACTACACTGATCCAGGGTCAGTAGCAGATCTGCCATTCAGCATGCACACATTGGTATTCAATTTAGACTTCCCGTTGTTGTGTAAAATTAGTAATAAGAATTTGTTTGTTAAGTTGGAAATTAAGGATAGATTTGTTTTCAAACATCCTTTGACAGATGAAGTGTTGGATAACAACTTTTTTAAACAACAACCAGCAGATTGTGCAGCTTTGAAAATGTTAATATATTTTTAACAATCTGGTCGATTTGGAAGCTAATGTGGTCTGTGTAGACTAACATGCTGTTTTAGGTAACTCAGTATAATGTGCAGTGTTTTTTGGGTGGTTTGTGTTGACCTTGGCCCACCCTGGTTTAGTCATTGCCTACTGTATCTACTGTTATGGGTTTACACAGTGTAGCCTAATGTCTGCTAGATACTTTTTTGTGGTGGAAAAAGCTGTAATTATTTTCATTTCCCCCCATTCTGCTGTGAGGAAGGTGCAATTTACAACATTCACACGCATACATAACATATTTTTTTGTTAAGAAAAATTACTTCATTAAAGTAACACAGCTTTATCCAGAAAGTTCAAACTTTAACAATAGTGGAATGCTTACGTTTATGTGGCGTCACCAACAGGTCCACGGTCTTTGAAGAGAGGTTGGGCCACACAGTGGACAACTCTTTCTTTAACTCAGCGTCAGATAATCGCTGAGCTACCATGCCTGGAAATTCACAGAGAGAAAGAGGAAGACTTTAAAAGACACAGATCAGCCACCAATCACAGCACCATATACTCTGTTTTGAACAAAGGGGAAAAAAGAGAGACAGAAAAAGTGACAGAAACTTCCTCCAATTAGTTCAGTATAGATTGACACACAGTAGTAACAACACAGTAAGCTAAGCAGTAGAGTTCTTCCTAAGATGAGGCACAATGAGAAACCCTCATTAAAAGTGCAGATAGAGGCAGTGAAGCCAGGAGAGAGAATCCAGTAGACACGCCCAGCACAGCAAAAGTCTTTTAATGAGTCCAAATGGGAGCTAGATTTGCTCATTTCAGCTCTGAGAACGGTAAATAGCAGCTGGCTATAGAACACGTCTGTCACTCTGGTTGGGACTGGCTGCCTATGTATATAATATTTATATATATATATATATAATAGTATATATATATATAAAGCTATATATATATCTCAATTTAATATCAGGACACTTACTTATATATTATTAGCTACAGTGGTAGACCACTATATATTCAACCCACTGTATCATTTTTCACATTGCGTTTACTTAGTTTAGTTTGTTGGACATTGGAAGAAGGATATTAAACCACACACACCTTTCAATGTTCAGCACACAGTAAAAAGTACTAAATCATCTTCAATTGACCAGTCCTGCCCCTTTCTGCTCGGTGCTCCAATGACAGTTGACCAAGCAAGATAGCCAGAGGAACCTCGGTCAACTTTCTCCTTTCCTGTACTAATGGTGCATTCTATTTGAACTGGAAAGTCGAAATATCTAAGAAGTCTCTACTGAAATGCCTCCTTAAGTTGGATTTCCAACTAGGAAAGTCGGAAAAACCTCACCAAGCCCAACCTCAAAATGCTTACTGTAGTAATAGACTGTTTATTAGCACCTCTGTCTTTTGTGACTCAATAAATCAGACATACACACATTACTGTCGAACGTCTGTCTGTGGACATGTTTTTTTTTAAAGCGCAAAATACAGCATTATGCATTGTTATTAATTGGTATTGCTAACAATGGCTAACTTGGCTAGAGCTTGGTTGTCTTGTCAACTCGGGTGTGATGTCATTCCCAGCTCTGACTTCGGACAGAGGTAAATACAACATTAAATATGCTATGAGCTAGACTTGTCTCGGTTGAAAATGTCTAACACAATGTTGAAGATGGATGAAGATAAAAGCAACACATATTTATAGTCAAATCTAAGTTAGCCACTGTTAACATAATGTTAGATAAATAGCTAAGTAACGATTGTTGTAAATTGTAAATTAAATAGCTAGTTAGCTAAAGTTTTGGTAACATTGGCTTTCAGATACTAGCTAGCTAACGACTAATGTGGATTAGCTAGCTAATGTTTCGGTCTGTAGCAAAATGCTACCTATTTAATAGTTATTCATATAGTCAACATTATCGCAATTTCACCATCCCTTTACTGGCTTCACACACAAAAATCTATTATATCACTTTGACAGTCTTATGTACAACGGTGCACAAAGAGGTCAGCAGAAAAATCTCTTTCTATGTTTGTAACCAGTTGTCACAATAGTAGTAGTGCAGCCTTCAAAGCTAACCATTTAACCTGCTATCAACTAGAGCTGGGTTCCAACTCAACACAACTTACTGGTTCTGGTGGATCTATAGTTTTTCCTGTAGTGTATGTTTGTCTAACCTTTAATAAATTAATTAACAAATGTAAGTCACTAGAAATCAAATCGAGAGACTTGGCAAACAGAACCTGGCTTTATTTATCAATTGACTGCCTTTTTTATTAATGCTATCTTTACCCAGACTAATAATAACATCCTAGATAACTAAGCTAGTTTAGGCTCAGAGAGAAGGCCTTAAAATCAGTCTATTCTACTCATTTTTATTCTTTTATATTCTCTGACCTGAGGCCAGTTTGATCTCCAGGGCGGTGCGAATCAGGGCCATCAGGGTAGAAGTGAAGTGGACGGTGTTGTCATCAGCGATGGGCATGTTCATTTTGACGAGACGCTGAGGAGAGGAGATGAGTGGTGACAAGGATGTGAGATCAGTGAATAGTAGCAAAAAAGCACAATCAGAACATAAAGTTCACCCAGAGAAATCAATCTGTGTGCTGCTGTGATCCAATACCCTCCATGGATTCACTCTCCTAGCATTAAGTACTTTACACGTGTGTTGCTAAATATTGTTGAATATGTACAATATTGGCCGTATTAGGAAAATCTTACTGAGACTCAGTTCAGCACACAAAAAGCCTTCTCTACAAGTACGTACAGAAGAGACAAACTAGACATTCACATTCACTGCTATTGGCTACAGTATGCACTACGCTGCAAGTCAAAGTGCACTGGTGCAAGACTGACATTGACCGAAAAAAAGGTGAGAAGAAGGCATGTAACGCATAACCATGAAGGTGCCTCGACAGTCGCAGGAGCTCGACTCTGTGGTTGCCATCCTAGCAATCATCAACTTGGAGTTGAAAAGGTTGAGTATGCTCTACATGTACAGTAGCAGCTAGCAAGAGTGTCCATTCCACCAAGCTTGGGCAGCCTTAGCAGTTAGACTTGGTTTATATGGGACTAATGGCACCACTAGATGAATACAGAATGCTGTGGGATTTTCGCTGTAAGAGTTGAGCTCCCCTGAACACAAAAAGCATTCACCTACATATGCTATCAGTGGCAGTGCAGAAAGTAAGAAAGACCAGATTCAGAATGAGACGGGGATGGAGGGCTGAGGGGCAAACACACACATACATGTACAACCACGCTATTTTGCATGTGATGACACACTCATCTATTCATACATAAACACACGACAGGCTGCACAACCCATTAGAAAGACAGCAATACTGACCACTGAAAAATCAAAAGACAAGTGCAGTAGCTGTTTTAGACAGAGTGCTTATCTAAGGAATCAGGGTGAATAGGATCTTATATTTTACTTAAAGAAAATCTTAACCACGTCTTATTTGTAACCCTACGCTACCTACCTATGTGACTTTACTTTACCACATTTACATCTGGTATTAATTTACAATCATAGCTGCTCATGTTAGTGCATGTGAGTCCCTCAGTACATCTGAGCACAGCGACTAAAACTGCTGTTTTTCGGGAATTCAGGGTTTATTTCAACTAAAGCAGAGTTGGTAATTGTCGCAAGGGCAGAAAGATTAACAAAGACCGTTTTGGTGAGTTTAGTTTCCGTCCATTTTGAAGTGTTTCACTTAAATCTGCTCGGTTACTGGTTTTGCCAATGAAGTCTGGTTGGCTGTAGCACCCAGTGCTTTGGTCGGAGAGGATGGTGCTCTAGTAGCAAATTCATTTTGTATATATAGCCTTTAGAAGAAGAATATGATCACAAATGACTCCGGGCTGAGATCTGATCACAATGTAAACCAGACTATTGCTGGATGATCACATCTGATCACATTCTGTTTGTCCATTCAGATAAGATATCCAGGTACAGATCAGGTAGAAATAATTTGGTCTATTTTATTTAGCTCAATCTATATTCAGCAAAAAATAAAAGCAAAATTCACAATGCTATATTTTTGTCAATGCTGAACAGCACTAACATTCTAACACAGAGACAAACACACACAAACACAAATATTTCCAACAGTGGATAGACTGAGATGAGACTAGAGAAAGAATGAGAGGGAATGGGCAGCAAGGACAGATCCACAAAGTGAAAAGCACACATACAAAGTATTACTCTCACAGAAAAGCAACAGAAGCTTCACACACACACGCGCGCACACACACCTAAGTGCACAAACCTGAGGATGCACACACACACACAGACACACACTGCTCCACAAAATCAAACCCCAAATAGGGCGTACCATTCAAAGGAAATAGCGACATAAAGTAGCAAATTTCCTCCATAAACATAATATATCTTAATTAACATTACTTTAAGTCTTTTTAGTTAAGCTCTATGTTATTATCATTAGTGATGGGTATTAGCCCACACAAGCAGCTATGCTCAATGAAACAGGAAAGACAGTAAAGATGAGGTAGGGGCTTACACCAAAAATATCAGAGTGCTAGCAAAACAAAGTGAAGAAACGAGGGAACACTGTAGAGCACAGACATTGGCATGAGTTCACGCCAATGGGAGAAAGGTTGTCGAGCACAGGGAAGAAGGTGGAGGAAGAGGAGGGTCTACCTTGTAGGCGACTCTTGGTGGACATTTCTTTCCCAAACCTAAGGGTGGGGACATGTGGAGCAGCATCTGATACATATCGAGGTACTTGATACGGCCACTTCACAGGGTAGAAAATCAAAAGATAAACAAACGCAAACAGAGAAGGATGGGGAGTTAGAGAGGGAGGAGAGGAACAAAGGGAAGAAATCAACAAAACAAGAGAATAATGGAAAGGAAAAACAGAAATCTGTTGTTAATAGATTTCCTAGAGTGAGATGTAAGGTGGATGTCATCCTCAGCCACTGTGTCGGGGCACAGGGATGCATCGCTGTGGAGCTCAGGATCCCTGACAGGAAACATGGAATGGCAAAGAGTGAGTTTGGGGGGAGAGGGGAGGAGGGGAGAGAAGAAGGGAGGATGGGCTGACCCAACACACAGGATGCTGATGGGAGGGAAGAGAAATGACAGCATTGTAACGGGGATGTCTGCCTCTGCATGCTAGCAGACATCCCACTGGTACTTCAACCAGGGTGCACGGAGACAAAGGTTTCAATGCCAGCCCGAACTTTGGTTTGGGGCTTTCACTCATAGCCTGGCTTTCCTCTGGCAGTCATCTTGATTAAAAAAACATCATATCACATTCCTCGTGAAGCTTTTGATCGGATTCAGATGTTTTAAAGATCTGAATATAGTGATCAAATTTCTTTCAAGACTTTTGAGGGTTTCATGTCTGCTGTCCAAACATTACAGACAGGAGAAAGGAGGCATGGAAGGCAGCATGTTGGGACACTGCCGTGGCTTTGAAAGCTTTGTTTCCTCTCCGGCATCATCAACCAAAGCCAGTCAGTTTGGAGGGGCGGGTGCTAGTGTAAAGGCGATTTTATTGGTGCACAGCCATTCAGTTAAAAGTCTCTTGGCATAGAGGTACACAAAGCACCCTAGTGACGAAAATGTCTGGTATTTGCAAACCTTGTATGCTACCCTATTAGGGCAGTTCTTCCCTAAGCCAAGGGGGGGTGAGATAACGCGTAACAAATTGTACATATCCTTATAGGAAATCCGTCCGCTGTGGAAAAGAACAAGCACATAAATAAACAAACGTTCAGGACAGCTTAAAATGAAACAGTGATCATCAGTGGGCTGACTGCATACAACAAGGTATAGAGACAAGGCCTGTGTATAAAGCCTCATTCAGTCACCTTAGTCACAAACTGGGAAGAGAGGAGTAAAGTTAGGGGGTCTATTCCCTCCACTTTACTTTGTATGCTATTCTCTGGAGTCCAGAGAGAGGACTGAACATACCATGCAGCCGGGTCGTACTCGGCCCAAACCCGGATGAACTCATCGAGGTGATGAGGCCCCAGGATAGACGAGTCTCTGGTTAGGTACTCAAAGTTATCCATTATGACAGCAACAAACAGGTTCAGCATCTGGAACACAGATATTACGTAGAGTTCACGTGTGTTTTGCAGGGATGGTTCACTGATTCACATCGGTGCCAAGTTTAAGATAAGATTGGTTAAAACAGTGTGCACTAGATACAATTTGGGATGAACTCTAGATGAACATCTTTGCACAGATAAAAATGTTTTTATATGTTATTATTAATACAGGCCCTGTGCCTTTATTATTTAAAAAGGTGACTGATGATGTTATCTTTATTTATTCTCTAAATGGTTTCTAAAGCTGCTTAAGCAGAACCAAAGAAATAAAATCAAACTATCTGTACCATATTGAATATCATAGCATCATAATCTTTTGACTCGCATTGAATCACATTGTGTTGAATGAAATCGTGTCTAACTGCACTGCATCACAATAGGGGTGAATGGTATCCCATTGGTAGTTGCTTTATGTATCTTTAATGTATCCGATCATTGGCAATGCAACAAGTTGCATATTGCATCTGACTCAGTGAAGGAGATGCACATCCCTAATATCTTGGACATTTTGAAAAATCTAAGTGGCACTGGCATGATCAAATTAGCCACCTGTGGAGGGCGAAGCAAGTCTGCACAAATCTCTCATACCAAGTTTTACTTCAGTAAAAGTTTTGAGGGAATGGAGTGTCTACAGCAATAGCATTATAGTCTTTTAGCTGTGTTGCACCATCCACTTGTATATAAGCCAGCACTGTCTGCGTATAAACTGCTTCACAAAAGAGGCTTTGAGCGAAGAGCTGATGATACAAGTATGTCACTTGAATAAGCCACCGATCAAGCTTTAGTAAGCCAGCTAGCTTAAAGAGCTAGTGTAACTGACTTGTACTAGCATGCTCCTGCCTGGCTAGCGGATGGCCAGAAGTTCACCAATTAGCCATGCAAGTAGTCACTAAGTCTCCAGGCTTCTAGCTCTGCCTATTTCTTGAGGATTTTTCTTTCAAAATGAAATGATAAAAAAAGTCAGTTTAACAGTCCAGTATGTAACATTTAGTAGGATCTATCAGAAATGGAATATAGTATTCATAGGTATGTTTTCATAAGTGTATAATCACCTGAAAATAATAATCGTTGGGTTTTTGTTATGTTAGAATGAGCTGTTTTTATCTACAGAGGGAGCAGGTCCTCTTCTACAGAGTCCACCATGTTGAACCACCATGTTTCTACAGCAGAATTCAGTTGGTTGGAATCTGCAACTTCACCGCTAGATGCCACTAAATCCTACACACTGGACCTTTAGCAAGTACTAATAAAAAAATAAACTAAAACCTAAAAATTACTGGATATTTGACATATCCAATAAGTCAAATTACACTTACACTCACACTAAAAAATCAATCAATCTGAGCTTTTCTGCAAGACCAATTCAACATTCACATCTGAAAAAATAAATCACAAGCCAACAGTTACAGTTGCTACATGTAAGCCTGTTTCATTACTGACCAGGAAGGAGCAAAGGAAGATAAATGAGACAAAGTAGAAGTAGGCAAAATCACTGCCGCACTCTTTCCCATGGGACCCCGATTTCTCGTCACAGGCTCGGTGACTAAGACACGATAACATGATCTCGTGCCAGGCCTCGCCAGTTGCACTCCTGATACACATAAAAACACAGACAGACAGAGAGAAACACAGAATCTTTGACTGAGGAGACTTTAAAGGGCTGGTGGCATTTTGCATGTTGGGAGTTCAGCTTCAATAACTTTAAACAGGTTGACTTCCGTGCTGTTTTTGATTGAGTAATAATTATTTAATTACTTCAGACTGATCACATTAATGCCTCTTTTCAAAAAAAAAAAAAAAACGATAATGTAAAATTGTGCTTGAAGCCAAATTGACTTAGTTGGCAAATCATTTTTATGTTCCGTTACCAATGTTTACTTAAAGCCAGCAAAACTTTAAAATCTGAAACATTCATGACTAAATAACAATTAATATTAAAGTTATTTATAAGAGTTTAAGACTCAAAGACTCAGGTGACCTGCTTCATCAGCACTGTGTGTGTGCTTTGATCACATTTGATTGACAGTAGGCTAGCAATGAACAACCCACCAAGTGCCAATGGATTTTGATTCAAAATTGCTGATTAGTGCTCAAAAGTACACCGTCTTCAAACAGAGCCCACCCACTTCAAATCAGTGTGACGAGCACAGACAAAATGACAAAAGACTGAACATTTCTCAGTTATAACTAAACTAAAACTAGTTTGTGTAGGACCTTGTGGCTCACAGTAAGAAGCTGATTGAGAAAATAGTTTTTTAGGGCATTTAATGCTTACTAATGAAATTAAAATTAAAACAATGTCTGAATTAGTCTGAAACCAAGCTATGTCCCTGAAATCTGCAGTCTTTTCGATTTCAGAGAACAGTTTAGAAATTCTGATAAAATAAATAATTCATTTCATAAAGACGTAAAACTATTAGGCCATATTAATCTCCAATGGAATATTGATTGCTCCAACCATGGACAGAATTAATTCCCCATACTGGAGCTTGTTCCTGCTTCCTGTTACAGTGGCAGCTGTTCTCTTGGGGCCACATCAAATTAAAGGCTTGCTAAACAGCAGAGCCATTACAGAAATCAGTTCCTCATACTCACTAATTCTTAAGCCAGTTCTCATCATCTCGTAAACATGAGACCAGGATCAGAGTGGATAACAGACGCATGGAGAGTGCTTCCAATCGGGTTCAATACCCCAGGTAAAAGAGGGCTTATTTAAGGAATGAAAGGACTAGCATTTATATGAACTAAGAACTGTGTTATTATTGTCAGATTAAACAGAGTTTTGATGACTATATCCTGAAACATTTTACTTTTTTGCTCAGCTACCTTTATTTAACAGCTGTACTCTAGTAGCTTACTAGTTACTTAGTATCAGATTTTAATTTGACACACTAAACATATAAGCACCTTATAAAACATGATGGTAAATGGACTGTACTTATATAGCGCCTTTCTAGTCTTTCGACCACTCAATGCACTGTACACTGCATGCCACATTCACACTCATTCCACACATTCATACACTGTGGAAGTGGCTGCCATGCAACGTGCCAACGCCTCACCAGGAACGGAAATTAATCATTCATACACACAGTCACACACCGATGCACAGCATTGGGAGCAATTTAGGGTTCAGTATCTTGCTCAAGGACACTTCGACATGCACCGCTACCCTTCCGATTAGTGGACGACCCGCTCTACCTCTGAGCCACAGATGGACTGTAATCAATTAAACTACCCAATAGGGCTGTCGCAAAATACCGATATTGACCATAATCGTGATATTTAAAGAGTAAATATTGATATTGTGTTAATAATACTCATATGGGAGTTGAGTCCTTACTGCAGACACCCAGGACTGCTCCAGTCCAAACTGCTGCCCTTTGCTGCGTGTCATCCCCTCTCTCTCTCCCCCATTTCCTGTCACTTTTTAGTTGTCACTATCGATTAAAGGCAATAAAAGCCCAACAAAGTGATAATTACAGTTAACTGTAATTCATTTGCCCAAAAAGAGACAAAACACACATCAAAAGTTAAAGATTAAATTGACTGATAACATAGTCAAAATCTAATATACAGCCGTACTACTGTATATAAAGTAGTTAAAATTGGCTCCACCTCAACCAGCCACAACATTAAAATGTTATTTACACATTAATGCCTCAGTAAAAACGATAATAATAATCCAATATTACATATAATGTAACACATTTGATATTGGCATATTTTGTCAATAATACTCTTACTTTAAATAAAACTCTATACTTTAAACATTTAAACACTTCCTCTGTCTGTTTCCAGGTATGATAATTCTTCTGTAAAGAAGTTTAGATTATTATTGTAGATGAAGTTAAAAAACAGCCTTGTCCTGCGATAGAAAAGTATGCAGTTTAAACAACTGAGAAGAAAACAGGATTTGTCAAAAAAAAAAGCCTATGAAGTATGTATGACTGTCGAAAATACAAAATGTAATACAGACAGCGAATTGTAGTTCCTATAAATATCAGTAAAATCTCTGATTAATATTTACAGGAAATAATCAGCTCAAAATGTATCCAAATCATTGCTTTTACACAAAATTCACTGTCAGGGCTGTCAGTTTACTCAATGATAGTAAATGGCTCTCGGAAGGAAAAAGGTTAGGAACCCCTGACTTACTGGACTGCCTGCCCAGTAGAAAGTCCCAGTGGTGACATTTTTCATACAAAACTGTCTGTATTTGTTAAAGGTGATCTAATGTGCTTCTTATACCTGAACAGCAGCATCAGAGCTTGGAGGAAAGTGCGAAAGTTGTTGTGGTGATTGATTGCTGTGTCCTCATTCAATTCAATGTTGCCAAACACCTACAGCAGAAACACAGTGAGGGAAATGGATGTGTACTGTTGTGGCAATGTGCAATTTATACATTTTCACTGTGAACCACTATATGAACATGATGGCCTCTCTGGCCACAGTAGAGTGACATCACCCACCTGCATCCCAATAATGGCATAAATGAAGAACAGCATAGCAATCAGCAGGCAAACATAAGGCAGAGCCTAGAGGAAACAACAGGAAACCAAAACACATTTAATTATTAATAACAACTGAATTATTCCAGCCACTTTGTTTGTTTGTGTGTGTAGGTAGTTACCATGTGTGGGTGTGAACTTGTATATGGATGTTAGCATACATGCAGTATGTGTGTGAATATGTCAGTAAGCATGTGATAATGTGTGTGAGCAGACCTTGAAGGACTGGACGAAGGTCCACAGCAGGATGCGGATGGTGTAACCCTGCCTCAGCAGCTTGATGAGCCGAGCAGCTCTGAACAGCCTCAGGAAGCTCAGGTTCAGCAGCCTGTCCTGTTAGACACAGACAGGGACATGAAGCACTCACCAAGCACATACCCTAACCACCCACTGACACACACCTGTATCAGGGCTGAACTGTTTTAAAAGCACTTCAGCTGAATACAAATGATCACATTGGTGACATGCTGACCCCTTTTAACAAGTATGCATGAGCAAAAACATACAAGGCCCAGGTGTAAATGCACTCTTGATGCATTATTGTCCATTTATTTATTGATGTCTTTACTCATTTATTGAATTAATCCCCAGTTTCTTTCTTCATTTGTACATTTCATGAAATATTTAATCATCAAAACTACAATTCTTCAGTAATCTGGGTCCTAGGTTAAGGCCTAAAGAGGGCATTCTCCTTTTTCTGGAGCAGGGGTGATAAACAATATGCTGTGCAGAGATAAAGGGCTACAGGTTTCCAGCAGCTAATAAAAATCTGGATCATGTCTCACGTGTGAGAGAGAATGCAAGTACACTGGTGTTATATTCAAATGGCGTATCTGCAGCGGAAATATATGGGTGCATCAGAAAAGCAAAGGGCATCTTAATACAATGCTGACATGCCCATATCATGTACATCTAGAGCTGCACAATATGGTAAAAAAATTGCAATTATTTTGATAGATACTGCGGCTGTGACGATTCACAATTAGAGGGAATTATTGAATCAGCTTTAATTTTCACTGAAATAAACTATTAAAATCATGATGATTTGTCAGAGTCTTTACCAAACAAACATGTTTTCTTCAATCTGGAGAACAAGAAAATCTCTGCAGCTCTACAGTACACTTGTCAGTACAGTGTCACATAGGTTACCTTTATCAAGAAATTGCAGCTTTTTGCTATTTGGAAATTGCACTTGGCCATATTGTGATTTTGATAATATTGCGATTAATTGTGCACGTCTACATGACCTACACAAATAAACAAGACCATCAGATAGAAGATTGGCTATTTACATATACAAAGAAAGTATATGTGCTGCTCCCATGCACCTAACTACACACAAACACACACACAGCATAAACAAAGTGCTTGATCCACTCACATTATTCTGTACACTGTGTGTTAGAAAGGAAACCTGTGTTGGCATCAGTGCTCTGAATCTAAAACTGAAAGTAAATCCTCATGCTATGTGCTATTTCATTAAAATATGTCGTGATGGGATCATAATGGGAAATAAAGACCTTTCATACGTGGAATCTGTAACTTTTCCACCATCACCATCTTTCTGTTAGAAGTGATGCTTTTTGTCATTCAGACATAAGGTTTACATTGTGTAACAGAGGGCAGGACAGGGCAGAGCCTCAGCGTTCGAGCAGTATCTGACACCTGGTATATGAAAAACAGCAGCGTCACAGCTGTGAGTTGAAAAATTAATGGAGTGAAGGATGAGGATTGTTCTCTTGCAGCCATTTTAAATCTAATTATGTGGAGGAAGCCTTACTTAATGAGGGGGAGTATGAGATGAGCTTGCCCTCTTTTCAGACTTGAATCCCCTGATACATTTTCTGATCATCTTCATCATTCATTAGAATTCTGCTACCTGTTTTAGAGAATCTAAAATTAATTTAATAGCCATTTGTTCAAATGCTGTATGTAATGTGCGTTGCTGGATATTCATAATTGTATTAACGCAGCAAAAATGAATAAAAGATGAACATTCAGGGAGGGCGTGCTGGTCTGATGGTTACTGTTGTTGTATGTGTACCAATTTTTTATCTCTTTCTTTCCCACACCGTGACGGAACATATATATATATATATTTTTTTTTTTTAAACTCATCTGACATCAGAACAATCCCCTTTGCAAATTTATTTTGTGATTTATTAGACTAATTAGATTTTCTTTGTGCTATTGCAAGTAATGATAGCTAAGTGACAAATTGTGCATTTCATTTCTTGCTGTGTGTACTGAACCGTGTAGTGCTGTAGATGTTTTGTTGTGACTGTATTCAGACTTATGCTGTCTAGAACTTTTTACAGAATTATAGTATTTGTTTTTTAAAAGTGACGTAGGGACTTGTTCAGACTTGTTAAAGATTATTATCCCATTTACTGTATGTAAAGCCCCTGGCAATGGAAAAAAACCCACTAAGACCCACTAACATCTAGATTTTGTCTTCAGTGGGAAAGGGGACAACTGACCCTTCCTAAGTTTTTAGAACCTCGGTCAACTTCCTCCTTCCCTGTACTTAGATATGCTATGTGCTAGTCTAATCTATGTTAAAAAGACAAGCATATTTTAAAGATGGTTGAAAGATAAAAGCAACATATCGATCGATAGACTAAACTAGCAATCTACATCAATCGTACTCTAGCTAATTAGCTAGAGTTTTACTAACATTAGCTATCAGATGTAACTAGCTAGTTAACAATTAATGTAAATTTGCTAGACAGTTAGCTAGTGTTTTGCTCTGTAGTAAAATGCTAATTAACTAGCTATCTAACTAGCTAGCTAGCTCGCATTTTGCTAACAAAAGCTAACTGAAGATGTTACCATACATGTCGCTTTTAACCATCTCCAAAGTGTGGTTGTCTTTTCAACACAGCTGTTATTGGAGCACAGAGCAAAAAGGCTGTGGGACTAAAGGGTCATCACGGCAATGCGCTAGTTTTAGTGAAAAGGGTATAACAAGTTACATGGTTGAAAGGGATTAACTCAGTCAGTCATCAGTTTTTACCATTCTTATTTTAGTGCGTCTCTCACAAGTTCCCCAATTTTATGGAAGCACAATATAATATTGACTGCAGTACTCCTTTAACAGAACATTTTATATATTGAATAAAACACTAGGTGAGCTAAAAGCAGAAAACAGCAACAGGAAGTCACTCACCGTAGTCTAGTGATGTTTGGGACCAGGGCATGGCAACACCGGAGACGACAATCAACAGGATGGAAATGTAGAGGGAGAGAGACAGAGAGATATAAAGAGCAAGAGAGAGAGAGGACGAGACAGAGCAAGATGAGGAGAAAGGAAGACGGAGGAAGGAGAGGCGAGACAGTCATATTGCACAATATAAACTGATACAGCTCCACAAATACACACATCTATAGGTAAGTGCACACAGAGGAACTGTCTGGAATGAATAAAGAAACTGTCAAACAACACAAAAAGCACAGCAGAGTACTGCTCCACTGTAAACCCTCTCTCCTCATCTAAAGCTGTGAGGCTCTCTGGACCGCTGCCATGTGATTGTCTTATGCTGATGTGGCTAGTTAGCTTGTTTGCACAAAGTGTGCTGTACAGGCTTGCCCCTGCCCCAGCTAATTACCATGACAGCTATGTTGTTTGGATAATGTGCTCTTACATTGATTTCAGTCACCAGGATGTCAGTGATGCTGCCCAACACGGTCACAAAGTCAAACACATTCCAGGCATCCTTCAGGTAGTTCTGGGAAACAACAGTTGAAGCTCATTAGCTGTTGTTCATTTTTCAGGACATTTAAAGTTGCTTTTTGAATGTTACCCACCAGTGGACCAAAAGCAATAATCTTGAGGATACACTCCAGAGAGAACAGAGTGGTGAAGACAATATTGAGGTTCTTCAGCATTGCTTCATAGAAGTCTGGAGCTCCATGGAACTGAAAGACAGTGGCAAGCAAATGGTGTTTTAAGGTACCTTTTACTGGCATGTGTGTGTAACCCTGTTAAAGGCATAGTTTGACATTTTACAAAATACACTTATTTGCTTTTTTGCTGAGAGATACATGATAAGATCATGATGGGTGAGAACCAGAGGGGTGTGACATTTAACCAACTTGACAGGAGAGCCAAAAGAAAAAATGACCATACTTTGTCCTGACTTTGTTTATTAAATAAAAACTTCATAAACATGTGGATGACAATTCACTTAATAAACAATATTTTGACAATAATTCGATTTTTTTCTTATGTTTTAAGTGCACTCACGCCCTATACACACACATGTATATAAAGAAGTATATGCAGCAAATATATATACATATGGCCAAAATGACACTTACACCCGACTGGTTCTCACCCCCGGAATATCAGTCTGTTAAATATGAAGCTACAGCAAGCAGCTCAAACATAATAACCCATAAAACCACAAAGTGTAAGTTAGTAAGTTAGTTTTTACTTATTAAACAAACAAGATATAATGTGTTAATTAGTAACTCTAGAGGTACTGGTTGGCAAGTTGTGTTACGTACCTAGCCAGGTTAGCTTTTTTCCCAATGTTTCCAGACTTAATGCTAAGCTAAGCTAATCGGCTGCTGGCTGTAGCTTCATATTTACTGTACAGACATGAGATTGGTATCAATCTAACTTTCTGCAAGAAAAGGAATAAGCATATGACTCAAAATGTCAAACCATTCCTTGTCCATGAATCCAATACTGACTTCATATGACAGCAAAAAAAGATTGACTAACTATCAATCAATATCAATATCCTACTCAAAAGTTCCAACCTTCATCATGAGTACCACAGTGTTGAGAGCGATCATGATCATGATGGAGTACTCGAACGGAGGCGAAACCACAAACTTCCACATCCTGTACTGGAAGGACTGCGTGTTCTCAGGCATGTAGCGTGTCAGAGGTTTGGCGTTTATGGCAAAGTCAATGCAAGCCCTCTGTAACAACAAACCACACTTCTGCTTCACAATTGCTCTCAATGTCGTCAGAGGATGAAAGCATACATTCACTACTGATCATTCAAAATGTGCACTGGCATGAGCAGCTGGGACTGATCAAATTAGACAGAAAGAATAAATGATAACCAATTATTGAACATATATTTTGGTACCAGGTGCTAATTATAGTTTAAAAACTGGATCTTAAGAAGCTCAAAGAGTTGATACGTTAGGGACAGGCTTAAAAGATTATTTAAAATAGCGTCAAGCAACTGTAGTGGATACTGATGGAGAACAGTTTGACGACAGGTGAATAACGTACAGAGGTGTTTTTATTGCCAGTTTTGGCTCCTGGTACCAGTCCGCTCACGTTAGCTGCACAAGGTAACTAGCTAATGGCATCTAACATTAGTGTTGGCTGCAGTTAGCAGGGGCTCACTGGAAAACTGCTGAGCGCCGTTGGTTTGCATGCCAGACAATATTAACTCCATAACATATGATCCAGTTTCACCCAAATCCCTGATAAAGTCATGTTTTTGTACAGTAACCCGGACCCAGAAACACCTTCCTTAAATGTTTTATGTAAATCCTTTCATCAACATATGAGAATATCCAGCAAACAAAAGGGAGAAATAAGCTAAAAATGTTGCTGGAGATGAATGAATGACAGCAGTGTCTAAAAGATACTGACTTTTAAAATATTTTCTTTTGCTGTTTGTCTCTGCTTTTACCTCATTCTTTTCCAAGCTGCACTCAGACAGGGCCTTGTCTCCCTGCTCCTGGAAGGTGATGATGATCAGAGCGACGAAGATGTTGACGAAGAAGAAAGGGAAGACCACAAAGTAGACCACGTAGAAGATAGACATTTCTATCCGGTAGCCTGGACTGGGACCCTGGTCTTCAAATGTTGCATCCACAGAGTGCTTCAAGACACTGCAGGGAGGGTAGAGCACAACACAAACACGGCTGAGATACAGTAATCTATCCAGTCTGTAACGTTATTCTCCAAAGCCACGGACAGACTAGGGCGTGCTCAAAAATACCATGAATATATATATAACTGAACTCATAAAAAATGTCCAAACATGAAATGTGGAATATGACCAAAATAATCCACTCCCCCCACTACTGCCATTTGAAGGACATACATCTATTTCTGCAGGAAATGTGGTAGCCTACAGGTAGTCATCAGAAAGGCTACTGACAAAAAGATTTGAGTGTCTTGAGAAGATTTTTTTTTTTGTCTTTAGTATGGTTCAAAAACAATGGATCCTACATTTCCCATGATGAAACTCATTAGCGTCTTTCCTTTGACTGTCCATGCCTGGTATATGCCCACATGTTTCAAACTGCTACAAACATCCACAACTCATAATGCAGGCTTTCTGTTAGACATGAAAAAAGCTGCACTTACGTTGGCCAGCCCTCCCCAGTGGAGACGGTGAAGAGGGTCAGGAACGCCCACAGCACGTTGTCATAATGGAACTCATATTTCTTCCACTCTCTGGGCATGGCTGCCACCTCGTCTTTGTCATAGTCTAAGAACTGTCCTCTGGAAGACATGAAGGCATAAATAAAGCTGAGTGGGGTTAGACAGGTACAGCGTCTGATTTTGAACATTTAACAATTTAAAAGATTCTGAGACAAGAAATTAGGAAGTGGGGGGTTTAGACCAACTTGCAGTCCTTCTCCAGGCCCTTGGACTCATCTGTGCAGTAGAAGAATTTTCCCTTGAAGAGCTGAACTGCGATGACCGCAAAGATGAACATGAAAAGGATGTAAACGATGAGGATGTTCAGCACGTTCTTCAAAGAGTTGACCACACAGTCAAACACCGCCTGATGACACAGAAATACACACGCATTAGATCTAAAGTGGAAAACTATTATCTATTCACTGTGTCTGTCAGGAGGCTGCTTTCTTACCCAGAACTGTCTTTAAAATGGTACTCTACATCTCAACCTGATTCTATACTTATCTGAGTGGGACTAACCTGCAGGCCCAGCTTGGCCAGTGGGAATAAGTTAATTATTTCCCAGTGGCCTGGCCTGCTTGTGGATCCAGACAGGGAGATGCATTAGCATATAGAGCTAATAATTCATATTATATGTAAAGATAAACACAAGATGGACGGTAAAAAAAATAGGATGACGCTGAGAGGAAGAAACCTTTTTCTGGAACCTTTTTCACAGCAGCCATTTTGACATGAAATAGTAGTAGTAAAATCAGTGTTACCAATGATACTAAGTAAGGTTCTATTCGGGTCAAACAGAGTCAGGGTGCTTATATTGTGCTTGTTGGCTCACTGGAAAGGCTCTGCTACACTAGATGGAATGGAGCCTTATGTTGTGAAAAAGGTTGATTATGGTGCTATGATACCCCAGTACAACTACTGCTTCTGTGGCAATACGATTTCCTGCCTTAACCACATTTGAACCCTGCTAACCTGGCTAAATGAATCAAAATAAACCAAGAAACAGCACTGGAGCAGAACCTTGAGTTTTGGCAGACGCTTGATGGTCTTGAGAGGTCTGAGGACACGGAGAACCCTCAGTGACTTGATAGTGCTGATGTCTTTGCCTTTGGTCCCCCTGTAGAAAGCAAGCACAGTTAGCTCACACACAGAACTATCTACAATCAACATGTAGCTCATCAGATATTTTTGCGTTTTACTAATATACAGCACACGTAGGAGAAATTGGTTTTTGTAATTTACTTTAACGGGATGTTTATTTCTGCAGTAGAAGTCAATCTTCAACCAGAGTCCCTGAACAGGATTAGTGGGGACAGATAATGGAGCAGCAGGAGGTGAACCTTGACAACCAAGGCAACCTGCTGACTAGCTTCCCGTATTATCCTGTAACTCACATTTCCTTTGGTAACCACATATGGCTGCTTACTAATAATGTTAACCATTTGATTTTAATAAGTATGGCTGGCACTGCTCTCATGAGAAATATTGTAGACTCGTACAGGAAGGAAAATGTTGAGAACGACATTTCTAAGAGACCATGATGTAGAGATATTTTATACTTAAAGGAAGAGTTCAACCTTTGGGGAAATACGTTTGTTTGCTTTCTTTCAAACAGTGAGATGAGAAGATTGATATCAATCTCATGTCCAAATTTGAATCACAGAGCTAGAGTCAGGACATGGTTGGCCAAGCTAAGCATATAGATAGAGCAACAGTAGCCTGTCTTTTTCTATAGTGAAAAAAGGCCTACAAACACCACCTACAACACAAAAATAGGGTATGTAGCAGACTTTCTCTATAGTCTCTTGTAAAACAATGTACGGTAGAAAGGCTAAACAGCAGATTATATAAAAAACAAAACATCTAAAGCTGTAAAGTAGGTATAACTGTATTGCATGTGTATGACTGTACGGGGCGGAGGTAAAACATTTCAGTAACACTAACTGGGGCAAGCTATGTAGGACTTGTCATGTTATTCCTGAGAAGTACACACAACCTCACACAGGGTCATGCATCTCCTAGTCATTCAGCTGTGTATATCATGTAATCTTGGTTTACATGAACAAGTCAGTCTCAAATCTCTGTTTGAACACATGCAATCACTAAGTTGGTTCACAGAAAGGTCGCCTTTGTCCTTCTGTAAAAATAAGACTTCATTTCAACATTTCCTTCCATGCAAATATGGTCACACTTAAGACTGTGCATCAGGGATCTTAATCAACAACATGTCTTGAATGGGCATTTCAGTGATTAAGATCTTAGTGATAAAAATAAGTAATTTACCACCTAAAGGAAAACACAATCAGTCATCATCTGAGGTGAGATGTTTGAATGAACCTCTGTGAGTTGCACTGTTGGTCATTGGTACACTTTGTATTTCTTTTCTTTTGCATATTTCTAGTGTTGGTATTTGCACACAAGACTCATGACTTTGCACAAAAACATATCACAAGTGGAGCGTTTACAACGAAATGATCAACCACCACTGTCCAGCAAATAAGAATAGTTGCTTCTCTTCCTGTATGTGTCTATGCTTTCTTTACATTACAAACTTGAGAACAGCATCATGTCAAAGTGCTAACAATACCTGATGTTGTCAGAAAGTCAGTGTTTTTCTTTAAAAATAGTACACCTGATTAACAAGTACTCTCCCAACTACATTCTTGAGATAACCTAAAAATAATATAATAATGTTTCTTACTATGAGTGGTGGGATCCTACATAAACACACAACTTTCTGCCAAAGTTTGAACAGTTTTTTGTTATTTCAATATTGTTTTATCTCTGATCTGGTTACTGGTTTGACATGTGCAGGGCCAAGTTGGAAAAACATGTCAAACATGTCCACACACCAATCCGAATTTAGCAATATTTGAATCAAAATCTGATGACAGTCATGGGGTTGTTATCTTAAGTTGTCTATTGAATCTTATTAAACCACATCCACACAGCCCTGACAAAGCAGATTAACATTTTTTGTTTTGTTTTAAACTATTAACTAAAACCAAAAATGTCCTTTTCTCAACTTTAACTCTTAACTCTCTTTTGTCATGAACATACAGAAATACTCAAGATTTGACATCAGGCTTTCCACATGTTTTGCAAAAAACTCTCAATAAACTAAATCTATTCTCTTTGGGCTCTGTAAAAAACTCAAGAGATTGGCTCAGTATCTACAAGCAGGTCTTCATCTTTGATATATCGTTAAAGGTATGACTATGGATCCTTTCATACAGTGGAAGTTGCACAGAACAACAACAAAGGCATCTGTAAACAGGAAAGTCACAGCCTTCTTTATGCTCACTTACAATACTGTGGAACAGCTTGGCTTCCAAAACTATCTACTGCAGTAGAATACCAGGATTAAACTACACAATATCTGCCCAATTATGACTCAAATCTGTCATATGTGGGGCATTTGGTAAAAAAATGAGTGTCGGGCAGGACAATTGCTTGTTTGTTTAGTGGAGGACAATGGCTTTGTTACCTCATGATTTGACAGATTTTTTTTGCTTTTCCTTGGCAACTATGAACAACAAGGTGAATGTCAGCCAACACTGATGTTCAGCCAATACATTGTATATCTCTACTTGTCACTGACCTATAGGAGCACAGAGCAGTTTTGCAAATTGACAGACGCACCAAACTCTGAGGTGTTTTAGATGCTGTTCAGTGGTGCTGTTTATCGACCCACCTTTTGCCTTTTGACCCCTTTACAAGGGAACAAGATATGGAATATAGAGCAAAAGGTCTTAAAAGACAAATGACATAAAGGCAACAGTATTGGTAATCCTAGCTTCTGCCAAAAATCCTCTAATGTATTGAGAGTTCTTCGAAATCACTCCAAAAGCATCAAAAGTTACAGGCCTAAAGCTTCTGATAGGCCTGTGCTGAATAAGCACTTTAGGAAGCCCCAGAAAAGATGATAAGAAACTAATTTCGCCGAGCCAAAGACCTGAGGTTTAAACCCTAAGCAAATACACTAAGGGATTAACAAAATATCCTTCTTCTGTATATATTGATCGAAGTAAAGATTCAATACAGAGAGTCAAATTGTGTGTTCTTGTCCCAATGAATGTGTATCCTGCCTACTGTAGTTTGTAAGCATCTACTCGTGTCATAAAATTACATAAACATGAAGCCAACAAGATGAACACTGACAGAATGCAGCTGCACGGCGTCTATCAGTGAACTGTTCCTGTTTTAAGTTTTTCATTGGTGTATATCAGGTTATTTATAGTCCACCATAGCACTAAAATGTCCTATTCAAATACTTTCACATCACAACACAACAAGATTTACCGTATATAGACCTAACAAATCCGACAATAGGATTTAGTTCGAGCTTCTGTCTCAATATGAAAAGAGTTTCGTTACTGGGAATTCTCGTTGAAATTTCTTGTGTTAACACCCAGAGCTCATTGTCCATCCATTCATTTTCCGCCGCTTATACAGGGCTGGGTTGTGGTGGCAGCATGCTTATTAAGGTAGTCCAGACATCCTTCTCCCTGACAACATCTTCCAGCTCCCCCTGGGGATCCTGAGGCATTCCCAAGCCAGATGGGATATACAGTATAGTCCCTCTAGAATGTTGTGGGTCTTTGAGGGACTCTGACCAACACCGGGAGGCAGGAGTTGGAAGAGCGGGAAAAGCCTGACTCATATTCCTGGCAGAGGTCTCCCAAGTAGTCAGGAAGCTCTTCAGTGGCAGGGTGCCAGGTGTGGATGAGATTCACCCTGAGATGCTGAAGGATCTGAATCTTATTGGACTGTTTTGACTGACATGCCTCTTTACTGTTACGTGGATGTGGTAGACTGGGGGTGGTGGTTCCCAGAAGAGAAGGGAAGGGTGTGCTCCAGTTATTGGGGTATTATACTGCTCAGTTTCCCTGGGAAAGCTTATGCCAGGAAGTGCTGTCATGTTGGTGTACCTCAGATCCAGGAGGAGCGAGGTGGATTTAGTAGTGGTAAAAGTGAAACCTATGACTTCAGTGGCTAGTATTAAATGTCTCCTATGAGGACAATTTCTGCAACCGATTATAGTGAACAGTTCCAAATGTTGCCACAGGCTCTGTAGAAGCCCCAGAAAACCCTAGACTCCAATTTGAGAACCACTGCAATTAGCTGTTTGAAGACAAACAGCATGGCATGGTGATATGATGACTTAGCTTTTGTCTTTCCATGTGCCCTTATGAGGTCGCTTTACTCCAATCACAAACACATGCAACAACTTCCATGCTCTGATGCACATTGGTCTAGCATGCGTTTACAGTGACATAGGACCAGAGGGTTTTTAGCCCAGACACTCACACAGTTATAATAAGGGCTAAGAGAACAACCACATAATATATTCTGATAGCTTTCAAAGAATACCCCTCAACAGCCAGAAATATATAGCGAGGAGGCAGGAGAGAAAGTGAGGTTGGACTCGTTACAGGGGCTAAAATGTGACAAAAGTCTGTCAGGTGCTTTGGGGGATGTGAAAGTTCAAATGATAATGAGGACATCTGGCTCAGATGTGGCGGAGGCCATAACTGTTCATCATTTTCCTGGAATGGGAACAGAGAGCTGGGCCCTGAAAGCAAAATCTGTCTTCCAACTGTCTCAACACTGCTCTATTTTTACCTCCATTACACTCCAGAGTCTCTCCCTCTCTCTCTATTCCAGAGAGTATGGATTACATTACTCAGCAAACCAGCTGCATTACAAAATAATTTAAAGGATGGGTTAATTTTTTAAAAGTCTATCTTGCGTGCCAGATGTACATTGGAAATGTTATAGGTTCCTCATCTCCAACTAAACTATACAGTGACTACACTGTAATAATCATAAACAAATTTTAAACGCAGAACAAATGCAAATAATGTCAAGGCAAACTTCAGAATGTATTTTTTTACAGAACGTGGACTGGATTTTGTTCTCCATCTCTTACACTGGAGTTACGCAAGTTATTTTAGAAATGTAGAGGAGGAATGATTACAATGACTAATAACTCTCTCAATATACATTTGTCATGTGACTACTGTATTAAAGCTGTGATAGGCAGTTTATTTTGGGGCAAAAATTCCATAATAACCTTTCCGCATATTGCAATTCAATTGGTCTGAGGGAAAACTTCTGCACCTCCTCTTGGCTCTGTTTTAATGCTTTAGACACTAGCCTGTGATGGTAGACTTTGGTCAATCACAAGTCAGTAAGATGTGGCCCAAAGCATCTGTATTTGATGACCTGGGAATGAGACTCAACAATTAACTCCTTCTCCAGAATAGTTTACTGCACCTTTAATTAAGATGAAGTTGAAAAAATCTGTGTTTTTTAAAAATGTTCAGGTTGCAACCTGAAATGGTGGCTATACATTTCTGAACTTCTATATGAAGTAGGTCTCCCCCTCAACACCAACCCCAACACATGAAGGATATCTTTCTGTCCACTACAAATAGTTTATGATTATGTAAGTATAATGGCAGCAGTGAGTACCTAAGTCCTATTCTCAAAGTGCTTACTCCTACTATAATCAATACTGTATTTACAAGGCATTGCTCAGTCAACAATTATGTACACAAACATAACATCTGTGCTTTTATAACCTCTTTTAAGCAACTCATCCTCACCCACTAATAACCTTGAACTTGCTGCCTGTCCCCCATTTCAAAGGCTTTACATGCCATTACATTACTGCAATACTTTTAGTTTGTCAGGTAGGGTGGAGGGAAACGCAGTATTAACAGTTCGCTGATGGTGGCTGTTGTGAGGAAAGACAGATGGACCAACACAGGAAAAAAATACTTCCTTTTAAATTTAATCCAAAATGCAATGTCAAGAATTTGTTTATACTATTATTTTGTAAATAAATATTTTGATTATTACTGATTATTAATGAAATTGACTATTATCAAAATAATTATTTAGGTAATTTGTACTTATATTTAAAAAAACTTACTTTAAAATTATGACCTATAATATAGAAAATAAAAATAGAAAGTGAGTTTGATTTTCAACCAAAAGGGTAACATAACATTTTGGAATGAAACAGCTAAAACCGTCAGTGGTTTTGGTAGGCAGAGGAAGGTTTCAATTGAAAGCTGTCAGACAAAGGTTACTGTTGTGTTAAAAAGACATTTGATTAACTGGATTATGGGTTTAATTGTTTTATACATGAGGCTGATCTAAGCATGAGAAGAATGGGAGTTAGAGATGGTTTGATTTGGGGGGGTGGTTAGGGTAAGGTATGGGAAAAGGGTGGGGGTGGGGGTGGGGGTTCAGGGTGGCATAGGGAGGTTCCCCACCTGGTCACACCTTGTTGCGATCTACTTGGGGGAAAACAGTGGTAAAACAAGGTACAGCACATTTATGGATGCTTTACACACAAACAAAATAAAACATATGTTTGCATCAAATGACTACACTACAGTTTCTATTCATTAAAACAGATAATTACATATATTTTGGTTGGTAGCAGACAACTGGGGTGAGTAAATCCCAGTAAAGAATAGGCTCCACAATTGATTCAGATACAGTATATCAGGCCATATAAGGAGAAAATAGCTGATGTGATTGGATGCTGAATGTGCCTGCTATTTTTGGAGGTAGCCTATCGCTGTAAGTAAAACACAAATCAAGGTTGTCTGTGATTACGACAGGCACTTGCTTAGCTCTTGTTCTGTAATTGCACACTGCTACAACTTCTCATACTCAACCAAAACATCAAATAAAAAGAGCCAAGAAAACAGGCTCCTTGGTAGATTTTCTATACAATAATTATACAAATAATTGTAATGAAATAAACAGAAATATCACCCCAGCCCTGAAAACCAGGTTGTGACTAGCATCTGAAGCTGACATTAAAAGGCAGTACTGCAGTTTGCAACATCAAATGGGAAATGCACTAAAAAGCTACAGACTGGGCTCAACACTTGAGTGGTTGCAGTCGGTGAGATGACAGATTCACAGATTCAACTTTGATGGGTATGCTATGGTTCGTTGTCCTTGGCACAGGCAGTCGATCAAATGGATTGCAGGCAGAATGAGCTCCGGCGTCATGCATGGTGAGTAAATGACAGCTGTCTATCAACAGGACTTTCTATCTGGAACTGCCAATATGGGAGTGACCTGCAGCAAATAGTCTGAATTTCATTTTTCCTGCTACAACATTGGATCAAGAACAAGAAGAGAATCGTAGCTACAGATATCCAAAGTGTTCAATATTAAATTAATAAATCACCATATAATAAATGTTAACATGAATAAACACACTAAAAAAATACTATAACCATTAAAGGTTATGATATTTAAAACATTAATATAGCAAACAACTATTAGCTATGTAAAGATATAATGGAGTCACAGTGTCCTGAGCGGAGAATGATGTCACACTCTTTCCTCTCTGTGCTTTGTTTACATAGCCGGTCTGGACGTGTATGGAGTGGAAAGACAGTTTTGGTGGGCTTTATTTATTTTTTGTCCACTTTTAAGTTGATGATATACAAGGTAAAATTATGTTTTTGTAAGTTTTAGTTTATGGAGTAGTTGGTTGGTAAACATTTTATATAGTACAATCAATTATATCATGAAAAACAGTTTGACTTCAAAGTTGAAAAGGTTCAGGATACATCCTGCTAAATGAGAAGACTATGCCACCTGCAGAATTGGGTAACTGAACACTGCTCTTGTCTGTATTTGACGACCAGGCAATGAGAATTGACTGTGAAGTGTGAAGAGAAACTACGGTGGCAACGAAAGTCGTGAAAAACGACTCTTGGTCTATCTATTTTGGGCTACTATAGAAACATGACGGTTCAACATGCGGACTCCATGGAAGCCGACCCTATTTTCAGGTGATTCCCACTACTGAAAATATCCCTCTGAATATTATATTACATTTCTGAAAGTAGATCTGACAGTGTTAGACACCTTTGTTGGCAAGCTACTTTTACTCTTGACCTTGTAAGTAGCACTAGGTTACCACTGTAGAAACTAGTAAGCATTATTTCATAATATCCTATTTATTTATTTAATATTGAACATTGGGTCTCCATATTATAACGGCTGTCAGTCAATGAAAAGTACTGCATAAGAGTTTCACTCAGAAAAAAAGTCTCCCAAATGCTATTTAGCACACCTGTAGAACCAAACCATATGAATATATCCCCATCTACAGTGTGATGCTGACTCGGACAGGTTAAGTAAGGTAGTAAGCTGCATGGAAATGGAAATGATGTGATAGTGTGGTCATAGGGCAGTCGTTAAAAACATATACTGTAGCTAACAGCATACATGTCATATATTTTATCTAATGTGCATGCAAAGATCCCAGATTGATCGATATTCTCTGAGACATACTCATGCACTCCGGTAGGAGCTCCACATGTTACATTCGTGAGCCTCTGGTGAATTAATAACAGAGAATATGAAATTGATGCTATCATTCCAGTTCAAGCAGAGCGGTGGTGAGGCAAATTGCAGATGAAAACACCTCCCAATCAGAGGCTCCGGAAGGTTAAGGATGATGAACACGCAGGTGACATGCCCCTCCTAGGCAGAGGAGAGCATGGAGGAGCCAAGCAAATGAGGGTCAAGTACAGGAAGGTCTTAGATGGATGACGAGATGGTAGTGTGTCCAAGGCACAACAGTGTACACTGCAAAAAACACCCATCCTCACAAGCAATTTCACTTCATATACTGCATGTCTTACAGCCTTTTAAAAGACAAATTCACCTGAACAGCTGTTGAAGGTGCTGATGCATCTTGTAATTCTGACAACTTTACTGAATGCTGTTTGGTCTACAATCACCACTTTGCACTAATAATCAACAATGATGCAGAGGGAAGTCCAGTAAAGATAAACTCATTTTCCACTGATAGTAGGCTTTAGACCGGAAGTCAATGCAGCTGCTATGCTGTGTTTTTAGAAAAAATGCATTGTTCAATTCAGGGAATGCAGGAAATCACTGAAGGACAATAATATGGAACATTATTATAACAATATATTATACTTGTGTCTTAGTTCCAATGATGATAAATTCCATGTAAATAAAGATATTTTGAGCACAGATGGGTTATTTGTTTGCTTATATTCTTTGATTGTAATTTCTCTGCAAAATATAACCTATGTGTGCTCAATATCTGTGCTCAAAATGTCCAAAAGCCCTCTCAGAACTGAGGTGCAAATATAATTCCATTGAGTAGACAAGGATGAGTAACTCCTAGACCTCATCAAAAAATAACATCTGAATTCTATTAAGAACTAAAACTAAGACAATGTGGCAATGCTTTTTTTTATTTTATTTTAAAGGGGACCTATTATGCACATTTCCAGCTCTATATTTTTATTCTGGGACTCCACTAGTGTAGGTTTGCATGATTTGCAGTTTAAAAAAATCCTTTATTATTTCTCTATTTATTTATTTCTAAACAAGTTGTTTTAGCTCCTTTAAGGCTTTATCGGAAGCATGTGAGCGCTGCCTTATCCTTTAGCCAGTGTGACAGCGTGTGAGATCTAGAGTAACTCAGCTATAGCGATCTGGGGCACTAAATTTGATGAATTTACACTTTATCAGGACACAAATGAGGCAAGAATTAGGTTGGAAAAATGTAGTGCTTCTGGGGGCTGTTTCTCACTGATTACTGTACAAAAGCACACAACTTTTAGAACTTCAATTGCTGATGTTGGTGAAAGTGGATCATATTTCCCTGACGGACAAATAGCCTTACTTGTTGCTGAAGTAGCTAATCACTTAGTGTAACTGTCGTTAGCTAGTTAGCTCAGTTAGCCGTGCAGCTAGCCATCTTATTAGCTGACTTTACCTGGACTGGGAGCCCGGAGCCCGGAGCCCGCAGCCCTGGGGGAGTGTTTTTATAGAGCTAATAGAGCGACTAGCTGCATGGCTAGCAGAGTTAACTAGCTAACGGCAGCTACAGTGGCAAAAGTACTTGTTAACAATTAGTAAAGCAATTTATCCATCAGTAAACCATTCTCCAAAAAATATTTGCATTCAGAGCTGTCTGGAATCTGAGCTTTTTGCACACAGGATTTAACACATTTGTACCCTGTTATTTGAAACTTTAACCATGTTCTATATGAACATCCATCATTGTAACATTATAGAAAACAAGAAAAAGCATAAAAGGTCCCCTTTATATTTACTTCAACTGTAATAGTATCTTGCAGAAAATGGAGTTGCATTCCTGACAGGCCTTTAATTAAATTTATTTCAAGAAGTAAGACTGAATATTTGAGGAAATTACTTGTTTTTGCAGTGTAAGCCATGTATGTTTTCTCTCTCACATACATACACACAGATAATGTCACAGACAGGCAAGATGAGAGAGGTAGAGGAGGCATTACCCCATGAAGCTCCTTCAAAACGATCCCAGCACAGAAACAGGAAGAGGATTACGTCAATAAACACATTGCACAACACCACAACACTCACAGACAAGCACACACACTTCTTGTTCTCCCAGGATATGTGCTTAAATTTCCCTGATTCGTTATGCTGCTGCTCACATCCCTGATTTGTATCTATTTACACATTACAATATTATATATATATAATATACAATATTAGCAATAGAAAATTTGTGATTAGCAGACTTAGAGAAAAAAGCTTTCAGTATGTATAATAACCTTCATCACAACCATAAATCATTTCATTACATTCATACACATTTGAAACAACATGAAAGGAAATTGTAAAATGTCATGTCAAAAATAAAAAATACCAATAGAAGTGTTTAAAACTGTAGAAATAACCGAGACATTGAATTATACATAATAATTATAAATCATAAAGTCAACATATTGATAATTATGTTTATATTATTATTTTGCAGACTGGATGCAGCAAAGCAGCAGTGCACATTACACATGTGTATATATATTACACCTGACACACCAGATTGGACCACACCAAATGCATCCACCAAATCTGATGATCAGGATTAACGATTCACTAATCAGAGACATGACAAAAAGGTAGGAGTAAATCCAACTTACGAAAATGCAAAAGCCACCAGCGCCCCACTGACCACTATGAAGTCCAGAATGTTCCACAGGTCTCTGAAGTAGGCTCCAGGATGAAGCAGCAGGCCAAGGTCCACCATCTAAACCACAGACAGCACTGTTTTGTATTTTATTCAATTCTGTTATTATATATATATATATATATCATTTATCCAGGAAATTACATTCAGAAAGAGAAATTAATGCTTGCAGAGATC